CGCTGTAAAAGTATGAGATTTATTTTTTGTGTATTGAATGTTTTCAGAGGAGTGATCTGGTAAAGTGTAACAAAAACTATAAAAATGATCACACAAGTTCTTTAGCATAAGAAAATATTTTTTAAAATTATACAAAGAGGTTTCTAGTAGCATTGTTTATGATCGTGGAATACTAGAAATCAACCAAATGGTGAAGTAAATTGTGGCACATCAATTTCATATTATAGCAGGTAACCTTTAAAATAACAAGTAGATAGGGGAGGTGAACAGAATGTAAATATATATATATCTTACTGTTAAAATATACAGCTGAAACAACAGATTTCGTTAACCGTCGCCATAAAATAAATAAATAAAATTTTAAAAATAACAAGTAGATACATGAACGAGAAGTATTAATAAGCAAAAAAGATAAACATAAATTGTACATATTCATTGATTACAACTCTGTAAAGTTGTCTATGTGTTAGTAAAGATTGGAAGAAGTCATCAAAAAACTGATAGTTGCTAGGCCAAGAGGAAGAAGCTCTGTTAATTTTTCGATAATGTTATTTATTCAATAAATTATTTTAAAGACATGCTTGAGGATTGAAAGGATAGAAGTTAATATAGGGTCAAGAAAAGAAAGATGCTATCTTTTTACATTTAGTCACTATGAAAAATTTGCGACGTCATGCTAGTTGATTGATTAGAATCAGTTCATAGGAAAGTCATTTGACCTTAAATGACTACACAGTTAGTCAAAACCACAGTTATAAGTTTTTAAAAACAGGCTGCCAATTTGGAAGCCACTAATAGAGATAAAGATTTTTGGCAAAAGGATGTTACCCATTAATACAACTTTTCAACACTATTCAAAATCCTTTTTCTAAATTATATAATTACTAATAATCCTTTAAAATTCTGAATACTGGTTGCTAATTTCTTTCTGTTCTAAAATAAGGTAGGTTTTTAAAAATGCTGTGGTAGTTCACATTGGCTTGGTCTCTATAGCTTAGCCTTAACGCTTTGTTTTTTTTTGTTTTTTTTTTTTGTTTTTTTTTTAGGAGTCCCATCAAAGTTGTTTCTATTGCTGCTGCAGACTCCTTGAGTTTCCACAGTATTCATATTAATTTGCTCAATTAATACAACCAAGGGACTACTTATTCATTTAGTTATTTATTCAACAAACATGAGTTGAGTGCCTACAATAGGTTGGTCCTGGACAATGAAGACATCAATTAAATAAAATCCTTATTCTCAAGGAGCTCACAGTCTTATGGTGAAGTAAAAAGGTCCCCAGTGCATAGCATTTATGGGATACAAAGTCTCTTTAATAATAATAGTAAAAGCAATCATTAACTTTTTCAACTTATAATATTATTTTTAATAAACTTTATTTTAAATCATTTTAGATTTGTAGAGAGTTACCTTGCACCCAGTTTTCTCTGTTGTTCACACTAGTAGGGCACATTTGTCACAACTAAGGAACCCACGTCGGCACATTACTAGACTCCATAGGTTTTTTGATGGGGGAGCCCCTAGTTTTACCTACTATCTTTTTTCTGTTCCTGGATCTCATCCAGGATACCATGTTACATTTAGTCATCATGTCTCCTTAGGCTCCTCTGGGCTGTGATAATTTCTCAGACTTTGCTTGTTTTTGATGACCTTGACAGTTTTAAGGAGTATTGGTCAGGTATTTCATCCTTTAATTTTGGTATGTGTGATGTTTTTTCTCATGGTTAAACAGAGCTTCTGGGTTTTGGGGAAGAAGACCACAGAGCTAAAATGCCATTCTTACTACATCATATTAATAGTACAGGCTATTAACATGATTTACCATGTTAATGTTGACCTTGATCACCTGGCTGATCAAGGTCAACATTATAGATTTTTCTATTGCAAAGTTACTCCTCTTATCTCCTTTCCATGCTGTACTCTTTAAAATGAAGTCCCTGTGTATCCCCCACTTAAGGAGGGTTATGCTTTACTTCCCTGAGGGTGGAGTAAGTTACTTGGGATCTTCTTGCACAAAAGAATTAACTTAAACATTAACTTTTATTTGGAGTTTTACAGTAATCAAGTTCTTTCAAATATTTTATGGTCCCTGCTCTGGGAGAGTTTGCAATCAGGTTGGGGGAATCAGACTCAAAGGAAAAGTCAATGACTATGACAACAGTATAAGAAATACAATTTTGCACACCCCTCTTCACAGTAGGCTTATTCACAATAGCCCAAAGACGGAAACAATCCAAATGTCTACTGAGGGATGAATAAACAAAATGTGATATATTCAGACAAACAAATACTACTCCACCGTAAAAATGAAGGAAATTCTGTCACATGGATGAACCTTAAAAACATTATGCTAAGTGAAATAAGCCAGTAACAAAAAGACATACTCTGTGATTCCACTAATGTAAGTTACCTAGAAGAGTCTAATTCATAGAGACAGAAAGTAGAAATGTAGTTTCCAGGGATGGAGGGAGCGGGCCATGGGGAGTTGTTGTTTAATGGGCACAGAGTTTCAGTTTGCAAGATGAAAAGTACTCTGGAGATGGATTGCACCACAATGAATGCACTTAATGCCACTGAACAGTATACTTAAAATGGTTAAGATGTTAAATTTATGTTATATGTACTTTACCACAGTTTAACAAAGTTAAAAGAAAATATAATTTTGAATAGGCATATTTTTTTAATAACTAGCCCTCTGATAGGAACCCACAGTTATATTGTAAACCAGAGGCTGCGAAATGGCACCCTGTACGATTTTTAAGAATATGAACTGCTAACATTTGAAAATCAGGAAATCACACATAATAATTAGGATTTCTGGCTTCTTTGGAAAATTGGATGATCTGGTAACATAAGCCCAAGGGTGTCACATGGCAACAATCAGCTGGAGCTGAGCAGCACCTCCAGCTTTCGACAGGTCATACTGGCTGCAGTTTATTGTGGCCCCACCACCTTTGTCGTGTTACACCTCACTCATTTCACTCCTTTTCATAGCCAGCCAGTATAACTCCTAAAAATCAGGAGTGGTTGGTGAGTTTTCTGCTTAGTGAAGGGTGGTGCAGTGGTATCTCAATCCCCTGCCACTTAGATTACCCATGCAACCGTGTAATAGACGTTAAAAACCCAGAACTTGGCATACTTGAGGTACTAAAATAATAGGTCACCTGGCAATTCCTTTGAAACCTTCATCTAAGCCTACACTTCCTCAGATTAGCCCAATGGAGTCTGCGGAGAACCAGAGCAAACACTGTCACAGGGGAGGGAAGGCTCTTGCCAGAACCTAGCTTTGGTTCTAAGAGCGCCATTTTAAGAACAACTTGATCCAAGTCTACTATGATTCCCGCAGTCTCAAGGAAAAGAGCTTTCGAGTGTTCGTGATTCCTACTTGACTCCTGAAGTGAGCCAGTATTTCTCCCGCAGTCTCAAGGAAAAGAGCTTTCGAGTGTTCCAATAAGATGTGTCTAACCAAGAGTCTAAAACTTCAGGAAAACAAATGGTGCAGGAAAGCTGCCACTGGAGTTCTACATTCTTTATCCTACCTGTGCAGAGCTGTGAGTCCATGCATGTAAAAGGCATGTCTACCTCCCAGCTGTCTCTGCCTCTCCCACAGAACTCTAGCCAGCCTTGGAAAAAGGATTCTAGGTAGCAATTTGTGCTTGGTACCATCTGCCCTAGATGCTCGAGATCATCCTAAAATCGGGCTTCCAGGCTACCAACACAAAACCACTTTGGGGTGCTCACTGGAGCCCTCCATTAAACGCAAATGGCTTACAACTCCACTATGTGTGCTCAGGCCCGGGAAGAAGAAAGTATATGGTTTAGAAGGGGATCTCATTTGCCCCCTTCTGGGATTGCAAGGTCTGAGTCTTACACAAAGGCTGATTCCCCTGAACACACATATTCATACACAGTCTACCCAGGGTATGAAAGGATATCCCCATTCTTGTCAGACGTGAAAGAAAGGCCATGCTTGCATGTTGTATGGTCACGATGGATACTTATTGGTTGCCTTCCAAGCATCCATGTCCCTCTTACCTAGGACCCCAAATTTCTCAGGTATGCCATTTGGATGGGATGAAGCCCACCTCTAGCTGCAAGGAGAGAGAGCCAATCAGTATATACCATACCCCTGCCACCATTCAAGGGTGAACATGTGATCCCTCATTAAAAGGAGGCTGAATTCTAGGACTTTTGATTGAGCAATCAGAAAAGCACAGTTTGCTTTCTCCCATTGCTCATGAACAGGACCCACACAAACCCAGGAGTTTGAACATCATCTTGGGACCACATTGGGAGAGCTCCCTGAGAATGGAGTCAAGAAGAGCCACAAGGAAAACAAGACACAAAGACGTCTTTACACTGAACCATTTGGTTATATGAGCTAATAAATTCCCAGTTTGGCTTCAGCCAGTTTGGGTTTGGTTTTTGGTCACTGGCAACAGAAAGGATCCTAACTGAAACCCCAGTGAATACAACTTGACTCTGCTAAGTTTTGATAGTCTCTGCTCTAATCACTATCTTCTAACCAGTATTTTCAATTCCCTTTAAGATAGCTCAATCTAGCTAAAACCGTTATAGAAGTTAGTAGAACTGAAAGAAAAAAAAAATTCCTAATATTTATGTGTTTTAGCATAAATTTCTATTTAGTGGTTTACATTATACTTCTCTTTTTTACATACATCTTTTAAGAGGAAATTCAATCTTCTGACTTTAAGAAATGCAAATGTGGGGGAATGATGTATCAAACTAAAGATTGTCTTTTGTAACAGAAAATGCTTTGAGGGGGAGAGAATAGAGATTTTTGTTATTAAAAGATAAAATTATTTTTTTTTAACATATAGGGCATTGGAAACATTTGGTTTCACAATATGCCATTATTAGACATTCTCTATCTGATTGTTAGAATTATTCATTTCCTCAAAGAGAGAGAATAAATTGGGTATACACTCTTGTATGATACACTGTCTTTGCCCAACGCAAACGCTGAACGTTTCAGAGCAATGAGAATGCTTCTGCATTTGAGTTTCCTATCTCTTGGGGCTGTCTACATTTGTGCCATTGCTGTAGAAAGTCCCATGAATAGACTGGTGGCAGAGACCTTGACACTGCTCTCCACTCATCAGACTCTGCTGATAGGCGATGGGGTAACTTTCTTTTTGAGTCCTACAGTCTTTAAAAGGCATAGGTAATCATTCATGGTGGTTAACTTTTAACAAACTTTTATTAATAATGTAATTATGAGTGTTAGTAATAGATAATTGATAACCATATCACAAGTGTTTATTAAAAGTTATGAATGCTAGAATGCTTTAAAAATGAATGTATTTCCTTTCTTTTTCAGAACCTGATGATTCCTACTCCTGAACATAAAAATGTAAGTTAAATTATGATTTGATAAAATGATTTCATAAATAAATAAATTGCATATTTTAAGCTATACGGCATTATTTACCATTGGAACTATTTAATGTTCTGTAGTTTGTATTTATGTGTGTGGGTGGAAATGTATTTACTTATAAATATTAGGGATGACTTTACAACAAATAGAATCCATTAGACAAGTGGATCAGGCCTTTAAGGGATCTTGTCAGTTTTCCATCTCAAAGAGCCTCGAGTCAGGCATTCTTTCCAGAAAATTCCACCCTGGGTGACAGGTACCTCTTAGTCTCCATTCAACTCTAACTATCTACTGCTTTCTCCACTTTAATGTCTTTTTGAAAGTATTAGCAACTTAGGGTTATATTTTTGGGATCATGATCAGTAGACACTTAAATGTACAACAAATTATTAATACATATTAATAGTCATTTCCACATACTTAAATGATCGTGACATATAATGGAATTGTATACATTTGGAGCATGCTGTGGTGATATTAAAATGTAAAATACATGATTTATTAGTCTAAATAGAATAAATTACCAGCTAGAATTGGTAATTTCTAGCTGGTAACTGATATAAGATCAGTAATGTCAATGCATTACACTTCCTAAACATTTTATTTTTGATTAAGTACTTAATTTATATCATTTATAAAACTCCTCAGTAATTATATAAACCTCACCTCCTTTTGGAAATTACAACTCAATATGAATTGGTTTGCCACGTAGAAAAGGAGCAAGTAAGAAACTCTTTGGAGAAGGGAACCCATGTCAACACCACAAAACAAAGTCTAATTTTTTGGTCCCAATTTTTATACCTTGATTTGATTACTTATATTTTTAAAATCTTCCTCATTTAGCACCAGTTATGCATTGAAGAAGTCTTTCAGGGGATAGACACATTGAAGAATCAAACTGCGCAAGGGGATGCCGTGGAAAAACTATTCCAAAACTTGTCTTTAATAAAAAAATACATAGACAGCCAAAAAGTAAGTTAAAAACATGTAGTGGAAACTTTAGTGTATTTGTCTACTGTGCCTGTTTTTACATGAATGACAGTTTCCTACAATACCTTTTGTCTGTTCTTTTTCACAGAAAAAGTGTGAAGGAGAACGATGGAGAGTAAAAAAATTCCTAGACTACCTGCAAGTGTTTCTTGGTGTAATAAACACTGAATGGACAATGGAAAGTTGAGACTAAACTGGTTGATTGCAGCAAATGATTCTGGAGGAGAAGGATGTTTTATTGCAATGTGAATGAGGCCCAGCCATGGGTAGGCACTTCATGTTCAGTGTAATTAAACTTCCGAGGCAAAGTAGCAATTATTTCAGGCATACTGCTACTTTACTACCTCACATAGGCAGAAAGCATAAAAATAAAATATCTGAGAAATGTTTCAGATTTCAGAATCATTGAAGTATTTTCCTCCAGTTTGCTCTAGGCAAAGTAGATATAGACTTTTATTTAATGTAACATCCTGTAAAATGTTAACTTAATGTTATTTATGAAATGGTTAAGAATTTGGAACATTAATATTTATTTTGTGTTAGGCTATGTCCCAATAAAACAAAAATAAGAAACTGGTTCAATTTGTCACTGTTCTTTGTCTTAATCTTGAAATGAGCGCAATCTGTGTGAGAACAGGCTGAGTTTTGCAGAGGGTCTGCATGTGTGTCCACTGAGCACTGCCATCTCCCTGGTGGCAGAAGTCGCAGGGTTGCTAGGCACACCACAGGTGGAAGTGACCCAGCAGGACTTAGTGGGGATGGGGACAGCAACGACATGGGCAGGGGCTAAGCCTGGTTTCCTCTCCACAGTATACCCAGAACCTAGGATGGTGCCGGTTAAATGCCAGGTGATGAATGAATGAATGAATAAATAGGCCTTCCGGGACTGGCCATAAGATTAAAATGGGTTTCTAGGCTTCCCCTGGGAGGAGGGCAGTGTAGGAATCTGTAACTAGGTCTTGTCTCAGCCTAGGAGAAGAATTTGGCAGATCAATCTCACTGCTGGTTGGGGGAAGGAGTCAGGAATTCTCTGTGGAGCCCAGAGCCCTGTGGCCTGGGCGAGTTCTTCTTCACTTCGCCTGACATTGTGGCATAACAAAAGGGGCAGAAAAGCACTGGTGGGCAGTTATACTGGGAAGGCTGGATTCTAAAGGTCCCCACCATCCTGTGTTCTCAGGGGCAGAGAGACATCAAGCAGAACAACACTCCATCTGTCTGCTCATGCTTCTTAGTACCATAATTGGAGGTCCCTCTGCTTGAGAAAATTTCTCAAGGATCCAGAAAATATGTTCTTTACAATATATTTCAAAGCTGAGACTTGGAGGAGAGACCCAGTAACAATATTCGGCTATGTCACTGAGTCCTTCATTTGTTTACTGATCACAGGCTCCACTCTGTGCACTGGGGTACAGTTGTTGGTGTGTGCTGGAGGTCCTCACAGATGGTGCCATCATCCTGGGTATTTTCTGCATGGATTGCTTATGAGAAGTAACCACTCCTACCGTCTCTGGGCATGGGAGAGAGCAGTTAACATAGATTCCCAGGACAAAGGATCCAAGTCTTTCTGCATAACAAGAGGTGTTTTCCTTCCTGTGCACACCCAGGCATGGTGCTCAGCACACTGCCTGGGCCCCGGCCCCCAACCTGTGCACCCACCAAGGCCTCAAGAGCCGGGCCGATGAGGAGGAAGATGGGTCAGCATGCCACCATGCTGACTGCTCTAGAAACTGACAGGAAACAGGAAACTTGATTTGTAAAGAGACTGAATGTCAAGTTCAATCAATTCAGTAAATATTTATCGAGCTCCCAAATATTCGAGGACTATCTAGGGATCAGGGTTCATCAGTGAATGCAACAGACAAAATTCCCTGCCCTTGTATATTTATAGTCTCTTTCAGAAAAGGTAATTTTTCCACTTCTTTATCAAGGTCCAATATAGTTAATGTGGATTTAGGACTGGAATATCCTAAAGTCTCACTAATAAACTCTTACCAACCCATTAGGTCTCAGAGAAGCTTAAAGCAATCAGAACTGTATGCCACTAACCAAAATGGAAGTTCTTAGATGTACCAACAATTTTTAAGGCAGCAACTATGATTCTCCAGATGATTCAACCTTCCCTGTAGAAACAAAGCCACCTGGATGGCCCCTGGCCAGATGGAATAGAGTTTCCGCCAGTCATATCACCTGCCCCCTCACCCAGGCCTGACTACTGTGGGGTTCCAGAATTCAGGGCATCAGGGGAGAGGGATTTGGCGGGCTAACGGGTTATAGGGTTGCTTTTGTGAATCTTGTTTTTCCTTTCAAAAGTATTTCTCAATAACAGAGCATCTATTTTCACCCTGTCTTCGTGATGACACTATTATCGTCCAGTGGGAGGAGCCAGTGGGAGCTATTAGGCTGGTGTCTGGAGGAAGCTTCCCAAGAACACCTCAACATAGTGCATCCAAAGCCAAAGTCACTCTTTGCCCACCATCCTCATTCCTTGCAACATCCCAGAATGTGTCTGCCTTATGGTGCCGCCATATCCACAATTGCTTTTGTGATTCCCTTGGCAGACGACAAGAGTCACGGGTAATCACACACTCATTCTTAAATACCTCCACTCATACCTCATTGGTTTGCAACATCCCAGAATGTGTCTGCCTTATGGTGATTCCCTTGGCAGACGACAAGAGTCACAGGTAATCACATACTCATTCTTAAATACCTCCACTCATACCTCATTGGTCAGAGCAAGTCTCACTGCCATGAGTAACTTCAAGAGGCAGGGGAAATACCATTCTCTCATGTGCCCAGAAAAAGAAGACAATCAGAAATCTCGAAGAGTAGCCCCAATATCTAACACAATAGACTCTCAACAGATGTTCCCAGCGTTCCAGTGCTTTGCTGAGGAAGGGGAGCAAACCACCACTTACTGACCACCTACTCTGGGTTAGGACTTTCTTAGACACTTTATATCACTATCTCAGTTAATTCTAATCACAAGACAATGAGAGATACTGTTATTCCTCTTTTATGATATGGGAGCAAAGGCTCAGAGAGTTCAAATTATTGGCCAGGGTCACACAGTTAATATGCGATATAGCTGGGATTCAAACCCCAGTGTGTCTTATTCAAGCCTCCTGTAATTTCTGAGGATGTCTTATTCTCTCGGCCTTAAGAAATCAGGAAAGCAGACAAGATGACTGACCAGCACATTCAAGCTGACTATCTGTGGTCATAAACAGTTAGTGGTACCCTTCAGTGTCTGCAAGAGGAGGAAAGTAGGGGAGAGCATGAGTGGAGGAAGACAGAGGGCACGTCATTGTAGAATTCTATCTCTGCTGCCTGTTTTTCCATCCCACGTGGGTTAGAGGAGGCACAGGCACATTTCTTTGGTTTTGACATTATCTATCAGTTCACTAGATCATGAGGTCTGTTTTCTGTCAAATTATCTGCCTGACCCAGTGAGTAAGAAGAGAAGGCGATGCCTGGAACTAACATAATATTGTATGTCAACTGTAACTGAAAATTTTTTTTTAATTAAAAAAAGAGGAAGCTAATCCAGGTCCATAGGATTAGACCTGCAGAGATAGGAAAATCATTCAATTCAGCTGTAGTCACTGCCCTCATATTTTACTTAGCTCTGTAGCCCGTGCTATGGCGGTTACTAGGAAACCAAGGAGGCTTGCTTTCGGTGAGAATAGACCCTGCCCTTTCCGAAATAAGCCAATGAGAGCCAACATAATAACAACTTCAAAGTGAGATGCTCGGGGCCGAGGCCGACACACTGACAACTGGTTCCCAATAAATTGGACCATTCTTATGTCATCCCATAAACCTCGGTTATCCCAAATCAGCAACCAAATGATACATGCAGTCAGCCTGGGCAGGTGCTTGTTAAGCAATCCTCCCCCAAACACTTTTGCCCAGAGTCAAGTACAGAAGCCAAAAATTTCCATGTGACTAGCTACCTCTGAGCAGACAAGTCAATGCTCAGAGCCGGGAAACAGCCCCACTCCCTTCCTTCCTCTCAGTACAATGCAAGATTTGCTTCTAGACAAGATCGGCTCAGCCCCTGGCAACCATGCACCAGGGGGAAATGGCTCAGGTGCCTCTGAAATCTGAACAAACACTCAGAGGGACAGAGGGAGCCATCTGACTTGGCCACTTAAACGAGGGGAAGACCTCAACCCTCACCACTATTGTATAACTGCGAAACTTCCTGCAGAGCCTTCGAAGAGCAAATTTCCCTCAGCCCAGTCCAGTCCTGCTCTGCTGACAAACTAGCAGGGTGATATAAAGGTTGAAGTACATGAGACGAGGTGAGTTCAGGGTCTTTCAAAGTGGCCGTACCATTTTTGCAGTCCTATCAGCAATGAATGAGAGTTCCTGCTGTTCCACATCCTTGTCAGCATTTGGTGTTGTCAGTGTTTCGGATTTGGGCCATTTTAATTTCCTAATGACATATGATGTGGAGCATCTTTTCATATGCTTATTTGCCATCTGTATATCTTCTTTGGTGAGGCATCTGTTCATGTCTTTTGCTCATTTTCTAATCAGATAAAACCATTTTAAGATGAATAAAAACTGAGAGAGCTCATTACTACTAAACTCTCACTAAAAGGGCTTTGATAGATCATACTTCTGGAAGGAGAAAATCATTTCAGAAGAAATGCAAGAAGGAATTATACAGTTGCTGTTTTATATAGGATGATGTTACCTTCCTCCAGAAATGATTTACTTTACTTCTAGTAAGCAATTAGGGTAAGAGCAGATCATCTTAATGTAGTCTGAGATACAGTTGATAAAAAGCTGGGTTTTGGTTTTAAAAGACTGTTCTATTTTGAGTTGGTTCTTAGTCTTAGAGTAGAACTCTTCAGGGGCCGCAGTGGAAAGCCTGGAAGCAATTATAGAAACCCCTCCTGGTTGGGGGCCCTGAACTTCCATTTTTGTTCCTTCATACCCATGAGATGTCTCCAAACTCTACTCTGCTTTATCTGCAGTCCCTCAGCCACAGCTTTTCTCTTCACTTCTCTATTGCTCAGCTTCTCAACCTCTAGACCACAGCTTAACGTCTCAAGGCTAAAAGCTATGCCAACTGTCAGGATTGCTTCTAAGCGTTCCTTCTAAGAACTTGGTCTCTTAAGTTTTCATTGCCATGTTAGCTCTCTGAGTCTTTCAAAGAGATTTTAAAACAATTTGACAAAGCTTTCCTAATTGACATTAGCTGGAGAGCTAGTCTCTACAAGATAGTCTGCCATAGCCCGAATTGAAACTCTGCTTCTGGTTTTTGCAGAGGCCAGAAGTAAATGAATGGGAGTGTGAGAGGGGCCACTGCTCCTGCATGTTCAAGTCTTTCATGGTGGCAATCATCCAGGAATACAGCAATGCCTTCAATTTACTATCTTGACCAGGGTCAATGGAGTTTCAAGGCCTTCCACTTAATCCTTACCTCATAGATCAGAGAACCCATATGATGGTTCTCCCAGGTGTTAGGAATGTTTATACTATTTATAAAGAACTAGAAAAATAATCACAGGATATAAAAAAGATTTATGTCACAGCTCCCTTTATCTCTTACCCTATATAAGT